GAGATATTGCCGATCATTCTAGCAAGAGGGGCTTGGCTACTGTGAGCTCTGATCGTTTCAATTTCACGTGCGTCGGCCTCTTATTCTCCGCGCTGCGCTGGTGAACTTCGCCGTATCATGACGGACGACCAAAGCAACGGCCCGGCGGCACCATTTTTCTTCGACGCGAAATTACCTCAAGCTCCTTAACAAACGTCGAGTCATTCTTATCGCGTTGACGAGCGACGTGGTCGCTCGCGTTCTCGCGATAACCGAGGGAGGAAAAGTCGAACCGAGATGCTGTCCGAGCATGGCTGACGAACTCCAACCTTCGATCTTTGAACGTCGATCACTCGTACCCTTGTTAGCACGTGAGGCGAGAGAAAATAAGACGTCAGATCGTAGTTACATGAGCGGCATTGAGCGGACATTGCTTAATGTACACAGTAGTAGAGGATGGAACACGGTCGGTCTGGCCATGAACGTTTTATACTACTTGACACCAACTTGTCACAGCGGTCTAATAAATACTTTTTTCCATCAGTTTTACAAATTAATCCACCGAGATCCCATATGAATAATTTGTTATGAATATCTTGACATTATTTTTTTTATGGAGTCGAAATTTTACTACCTCTCTGTGTATAACGACGATTTAAAGGAGGTATCATTGACTAGCGTTATTGCAAAGAAATAAATATCGGAATATTTTTTTACAATGAGATATACTAAATTTCAAACTTGCTTGTCATAGATATTTTTGTTCTTATTGGCAATGAGATTTATAATACGTCACACAACCGCTGTTTAAACGTTTATTATCGTTAATATTTAACTTCTACATACCTGTCACTTTCTTGAACCTGCGTGAACATCCTCCAACATCCCGCAGCCCCGTCCGGGCCGGATTGTTCGGCTCTTCCCTCAACGAAAACCTGAACCGCGGCTGTTTTTCCCGACAATTCGACAATCTTCCTGTTTACCCTTACATGCTTCTCTTAAAACGATCGGAACCAAGCACAAAAACACAACACAATCGTCCGTCAGAGACAAATGATACGCCTCGTGTTACCGGCTATCACCTATCAACAATTCCATCCGATACGTCTCCGAAGGCGTCACGGCGCTCACTGCGGAGACTTCGCTGCGTACCCGCCCTTATAGCATCGTGTTGCGCTCACACTGTTTCCCTCTCTTCTCGCCCTCCCACCTCTCGAACGTTTCTCTCACTCTTCATCCTTCGTTTCGACCCTCTCTGCGCCGTACCGTGAACCTCGTGCACCCCTCGCGCCACCCCAACCAATCCGACCACCCCTTCACCCTTGCCCGCTGCCGCTACCCACCTTATAGGATAACGCAAGCGTTCTGGAATAAGCGTTCAAAAGACCAGCCGATGCATTCTTCGTGCATGCTCCAGCACCTTGTGCCACGAGAATCGAACAGCTTGGGAAATGAACGCGTTCGAGATGCCAGTTTCGCTGATTCGAGGGAACGGATTGTTGATATCAGCGTGAACCTTTCTTCTTTCATTTTTTGTTTTCTTGTTAGTCGGAGATCCGTTAGATGAATGGATGTTTGAGTTGGAACGTCGGCATGTTGACTGACGTAAGGGTTATGGCTTGGTAAATTGAAGGGATGTTAGCGGGGAAAGGTGGATCGTCTAGACTGGATTCTAATTTGCCCGAACCTACTGGCACTCGCGTTATCCCGCAGTAAATCACTTGGACGCGCTCCAGTGCTCGTCATACCGCGCGTGAACGTCACGCTAACCTTCCCCCATTCACTTCAACTCACGAGGGCCAGTTTCAATTTGAGGGAACCTCCAGAATCCACTGTAAATCCTGCGGAACCGTTTCAACCAGTGTACTAACTTTCCCACAGCCGCATCAACATACACACCGTGCGTGGATTTCTGCTATCTGATTCACTTCGATTCGCGTTAACGTCCCACCACTCACTCCAGTTCACATTAGCTCCGTTTCATTCACTCTAATTTGAACAAACTTCCTCTCGCCCACTATTCAACGTTTTCGAACTTATTTCCCACTTAACTCGCGTCAATAATTTATATTAACCACGATTTACATTAACTGCTGCTGAATCGCATTTTCAACTAATACGAAATGTTACATCGCGTAACTATAATTGATGTTCAACTCACCTAATCTTGCTGTAACATGGAATTTTATGCGGCTTATTTACATCTCACTTCATTTTTTTTTAGATTAATTAGTAATTACGTTACATAACAATTTCTGTGGTTATCCTAAAGGGCAAAGCGTACAGTTACATAAAATATACGGTTTCATAAAAAATATCCAATGCAAACTACTTCATTTAAAATATACTTTTATTACGTTATCTGCAAATGTATCTTTTTTAAGCCGTTATAAAAGACTTCATGATACACAACTGGGGTAGATTTTACTAAAAAAGTGTGAATATCCAACTTTCCTCATATAAAGGATTACAAAGTTTTAATAACAACTCCACGTTTTTAAAAGTTCTTGACTTTTAAAAAAGCTGTGATATCTGTTCAAATCTCTTTAGAGATCTTGGTCTCACTAGCCCAATAGTGAATTCTATTCAACGTCGATTCTACTTCACCGTTTGCATTAATAAGGTCAGATAAGAATCATAGACACCCATGTTTCTATATATGTATGTACATACATACATACGTTACACTTTTCTAGCATCTCGTGGATCACAAATGGGTGATTTAGTACTTACTCCAATATTTACAATGCGTGTAAATGTATTTTGCAGTAATAGATCTAAATTCAGGGAGTAATAGCGCGGATCCGCTCGAACGCGCGCGAATTCGCTCCGGTTGCTCGTATACGTCTTCAGGCTTGTCACGTATTCGTGGATGGTATATATACATGGTATGGTCGCTCTGACGCAGACGTATGTCCGACTGTCGTTGGTGAGCGGGTCGCATCATTAATTTATCCATCGCTGAGGCTGTCCCGGGGCAAACGAGTCGTGACATACAGGCTCATCAGACAACCGGGAACGCCCGGGGGATAATAACTTGAAAAAACAAGCGTCTTCCACCCTCCTTCCTTCTTCCCTTGTCTCGGACGCATTCTAGGGGAAGCCGCTCGTTTCACCCTTCTCTGACGCGCACCAGCTTCCTTGTTTTCTTCCGTTACGGGAGCCAAAAGAAATTTTAGGGCAAGCTGGGTGTATCGTTTAGAAAGATGACGCGACTATTGTCAGACACGAAGTACTCTACTAACTCTCTTGATCTCCTTTCCACTATCAGAAATAAAAGTCCTATCCCGAATGGTGTGCCTTTGCACACGTTCGTGAAATAGTGTCATACTCAAGACTCTGAAGAAGAATCTTTACCTCACTGTTACTAACTTACGAGTCTATTTAAATCTATGTACTTTCAATAAATCATTTTTATCAATAATACTTTTCCATTAACGCCTTATACACCGAATTATTTTACAATTACAAAAATTAAGGGAATCCGATAAAAATGTAGAACCGTTTTAACACAGCTATTCTTAAGGGGTTAAAGTGCATGTTTCGTTCGTATATAATAAATTTTAATTACTATTAAATCACCTTTTAATACGTAATGAGAGTCATGTAAACCCTCGTGGAGTCTTCTTTCAAGGAACGGGATAGAATTTAACTCTGGTAACAAATGTCACATTTATTCGTCAACCAATCGCAGGACGCAAATGGTTTGTAATCGTATACAACTGGCAACAAGTTACCCGGCTAAATTCTGGGCATCTGTTCTTGCGCGACACGCATGAAATATTTACTGAACACGCATCTTGAGACTGCGCCCAAGATAAATTTATTACAACTAATATCCCCGTGAGGCGTTTTACCTCCTTCTCCGAGCAGTAAAGTATAGTCGAGTACTAAAGAATATAGTGAATTATTGTCTAAAACATACGCACGATATTCGCACGAACGCTGGAACATATCAGGAGGCACACGTTCATGAACAAATATAAAATTAACCCGTGTGATATAATACAGTATCTGCAAATATCATGCACGTTCGATTAAGGATGTATTGGCTATACAGTCAATCCCAAAAGTTGATGTACCTTAGAAAAACGTATTTCCTATAATTAAAAAGAAATCAGACTTCGGGAGAACAATGCTAATAATAAAGAACTACGTGCTAAAAAGTATAGAAAGAAATACCCAATTAATTATTGACGCTGGCGGAAAACTTTTTATACAGAAATTATAAGCCCTGACGTCCTCAATAAGAAAGATTCTATGAATTTTTCTTCTAACTCGAGTATTTAACAAGTTACATATGATTATTTGGCATTTTATTGATGTTGACAAAATCCG